TGGAAGACTCGACTATATAAAAAAAATATATAGCTATAGATTTTTTAGACATTTAAATGATTGGGTAATGAAAAATGATATGAAAATGAATGCATTAATATTCCAATTTTTCCGCTAAAAGATTGGAAAACTTGTAAGTATTAGAAAACTTGACCATAAAAAAAAATATGGTTATAGATTTTTTAGACATTTAAATGTTTGTGTAATGAAAAATGATATGAAAATAAATGTATTAATATTCTAATTTTTTCTCTAAAAGATGAGAAGACTTGGAAGTATTAGAAGACTTGACCATAAAATATATTTATATATGGCTATAGATTTTTTAGACATTTAAATGTTTGTGTAATGGAAAATGATATGAAAATGAATGCGTTAATATTCATTCCTCTAAAAGATGGGAAGAGTTGGAAGTATTAGAAGACTTGACCATAAAAAAATAATATGGTTATAGATTTTTAGACATTTAAATGTTTGTGTAATAGAAAATGATATGAAAATGAATGCTTAAATGAGTTTTCAACAGGTGTGGACTAGCCTATACCTGTTTAAAGTTAAATGGGCGGGCTACGAGTTGACCCCTAAGCTGCCCAACCCAACGGTTACTCACCTTTACTAAAATTTTGTCCAAATATTTATATATAAAAGTCAAACTTCACATCACAAATATTTATTCAAATTTCAATGATATGAATTAATTTATTCATTTTTGAACCAAAACAAAATTGAATAAAATTAATTCACTCTGACTCAATACTTGAGTAAGTGTACTCCTTCATTAATTAAAAACAAAATTTATAATAATTCATTTTATTTTTAAGTCATAAAATAGTATTGATTATTCTATTAAGTTGCATGCCACTCGTGGAGCCCATATAGGATTTGTTTTGTTTGCAAACTGATTTGAACCTTTTTAGTCGCCTTGGGTTAAATCAAAAATAAAACCAAATTATGCAGTAAAGCACAACTCGGGTCGAGTTTCTTGAGGAGCTTTTTATTAATTCCTTAGTTAACTAAGTGACAAAGAATTGAAAGGAGGGGTTGAAAAAAGATTTTTCAATTAATAAAACTAATTAAGAGAGTAAGAAATAAATCTAAACTACTTTTTTTGGTATTTTTAAGAAAGAATGAAAAATGCAAATTTGAATTGTAAGAAATCAATAACAAGAATGCTCTTGAGGAATGAATCAAAGACTATCCTGGCTTGTTTAATGATATGGGAGTAACTTAAGTGGTTAAGACTGGTTTATATAAGTTATTCCTTTTAAATTAATACTCAACTAGAACATTAATTACTTGTTAAATCCACTTCAAGCATAATTTCTATACAACTCGTATAAAAATCACACTAACAATGAATTAACAAAGGCATAAACATAAATATATGTATAAACCAAGTACTCAAACTTATAAATACCAATCCAAATCTCAGCAATTCCAATCCAAACCAAGAATTACAACTAGCAATTCTTAGCTTTAAACCAAATATAACAAACTTCAAACCAGAAATCATCAACAAAATAGTCTAAACTAAGGACTAGAATTAAACTCCCCTTTGTAGCTCCCAAACTCAAGTCATTGAATTCAATCCCAAAGAGCACAGCAAACTCAGCCTCTCATAGTCTTGAACCAAGCTACAACTCGTGCCAAAGATTCAGTAGTCATGGAGGATAGATGGAGGAGAAGAATATGGAAGATTATAAAGAGTGCAGCTGCCACGTTCTCGACCGAAAAGAATAGGTGAAGACTGGAGGTGGAGAATTGCAATGTGCGGCGGCGTGATATTGCGTGCGGCTATGAAGGAACTGAGGGTGTGTGAGTGCGAGTCGGTGGTGTATGAGTGTGTGTACGGTGGTATATATAGGAAAGGAGTGGGGGGTGGCGGCGTGGTCTATGGAATTGAATAAATAGATTTGGAAGCTATGTATGCGTGTGGTGCAATAGGCGTTGGCGGCGTGATTGTGTGTATATATCCTCCGTCTTGCAATTGATGGATTTAATATATAACCTAATATCTTTCCAAAATCCATGCCTTCCCTCTCTTCCGTCCCTTTCTTTCCTTTCTTTCCTTTTTTTTTTTTAATTCTTTTCCTTTTGTTTCAACTTTCCTTCTATGTTTATTTCCTTTTCTGAGACCTGCAAAAGATAAATTGAGATACTATCATAAAGTTCAAAATCAATTATTTAAAAAGAGATAAAATATGATAAGATTTTCTTTTAAATTTCTAATTTTGTGCCACCAATATTTAATTCAAAATATCTAAAATCAATGCAAATTATTCCACTTTAATTGATAAATATCCCCAAAAAGACATTAAATAATATATTAAAATAGGGATTTATCAACTCCCCCACACTTGAACTTTTGCACTCCTGGGCAAAACAATTAATCACATGAAAAACCAAGACTAACACCAAGAGCAATTAGAAAGTTATACAAATTCATGGAAAGAATATAATAGTTTGATCAATGACATCCAACAAGCTAGCAAAATTCACAGTTAAAACTAATGCAAAGGATTAGTCAAGTATTCAATCAACCTTGAAAGTGAGCAAACGAAAGAAAGCACTCAAAGGATAATAGTGTTTCACTCATATCACCTTATTAGGATAATTTTCACTCAGATCCACTTAATTCACATTCTACCATAGGCTTGTAACAACTCTACTATCTCAATTACTATCTCAATCATACAATAAATCATGAGGACTTTAAAGGGTTGTAATGATGGAATTAGGCCACATGGAATGAATGAGAAAAATGACAAGAACTATGCATGCACATATGAATGATAAGCATCTTAAATACCACTAGATATTTCATAAAATCATGTCTCATAGAGCTACTTTTGCTACTTCACAGAATCCAAAGGAATGCCTTATTTCCCATACTTCTTTTTTTTTTTTACTTTTCTATTTTTTTTTGTTTTTCTCATATTCAACTTTTTTTCCTTTTTTTTTCTTCTTTTTTTTTTTACTCTTTTTTTTTTTAAATTGGCATTCAAACACATTATGAAAGATAGTAGCAACATTCTATGATATGACAAGTCATGAGTATGTTAAGATGCTTTGAGAATGCAATTGAGATGCATATGCATTGTTGCTTGTCGAAAACGAGAATAAAAAGAAAGTGAAGGCTCAAAAGGGGTATGCAATGGATAAAAATGATAAAGGTTTGTGTTTGGGGTAATAAGGATACAAATAAGAATGCCTCAATCATATTTATCATATAATCACAATGCAATTAAACTAAGAGTTGAAACAAGTTCTGTAGAATGAAAAACTAAGTGGATAATCACACAAGGAAAGGAAATTAGGCTCAAAGATCTTCCAACAAGGTTTATTCTCTCATGCCCACTCACATTGACTAATTGGACACCAAACTAACCACAAAGCATTAATGAAACTATTCGAATTGCTAGCTGTAAGAGTATCATAAATCAAAGCATTATATTAAATCCTGAACAAGCATAATTCCAAATGGAAATAGTGAAGGCCATTTTCTCTCTTTTCAAAACGTGGAGTAGCAAAAATCTAAATACAGGGTATAATGAGCAACAGAATCACCAAAACCAGCAGCACAAACAGCAAAACTCAACCAGTTATAGAACCACAGCAAGCAATAGAAGGACTAAGAAATACCAAACCTTCCCCCACACTTAAATCATGCATTGTCCCTAATGCATAGCCCAAATGTAGAGTAGCAACAAGAGTAAGAGAACTACAAATGAGAGATTTTATTGAATAAAAAAAAAAAAACTACATCTACCTTTTCCTACTGGATTACCCCTTCCCCCACACTTAAATCAAACAAACATGTTAAACAGATATCACGAGCAATCATAAAACATGGAAAATGAATCAAGAGAAGGAAGGGGACAACCTGACGAGTTATGGGGGCTTATAACTCGAATGGTAAAGCCGGAGCCGATCCAACTTCACTCGCATTCGCTGCCCTTTAGCAATCTTCACCACTGCTTTCTTTTCATGTGGGCAAACAGAAGTGATCACCACAGGTCCGATCCATCTTGCTTTCGTCTCATGGTCTGGGGTCTCGAATTTAGAGAACTGGACCCAAACTGCCTCACCAACAGCCAATGATGCTACTCTTTCATCTTTTTTGAACTTCGGATCATCAATAGGAACATCAAGTATTTGGAGATGGCCAATGAGGTGGCTGATGTCATAAGATGTGAGTCTATACTTTCCTTCTTCTGTCTTTGTTTCTTGAGACTCTACACTCTGTACTTCAATACTATCAAAATCACCATATGAGCCAGGGTTAGCTTGCAGATGGATTCAACAAGTCTGGCTTGTTTCCGCTTCTTTTTCTTTTTCTTGTTGGCTTTGGAATGGGCAAGAGCTGCAACAGTAGCTTGTAGGGACTTGACCTCTATGATCAATTGTGTTGTAAGCTCAACTGAGTTCTCAATCCCTCTAGTGGTACCTGTAGCATTAACATCCACAATACCTTTCTCAAGCCAATTTGAATCAGAAACAGGAGCAACATCTGATGTGTTAACTTCATAAGTACATGGTGTGGAAAGAGTACAATCCACATGAGCAACTGTAGAGTACTTCACGTCATCACCATGCATGGGGGAAGGAGAAGAATGGGATGGAGAAGTGGGGGGTAGCATATAACCATCAGCGTGAGCGTGTGTAAGAGATAACCCATGTTCACTAGAAGCATCATTAATCAAAGCATCAATAACACTAACACCAAACAATGAATTATCTTCATACAATCTTTTCATGGAATCTTTAATATTGAAATGCACATAATGATCTCCCACTGACATAGTAATAGTCCCTCTTGGCAAGTTAATATTAGTATTTGCAGTCATCAAGAAGGGTCTACCTAGTATCAAAGAACCATTACCCTTAGACTCACTAGCTATATCCAACACATAAAAATCAGCTGGAAAGACTAGGTCTTTCACTTTTACTAAGATGTCCTCAAGTATTCCGTGTGGATACCTAATGGTCTGATCAGCAAGTTAGAGTACTACATTTGTTGGCTTAAGAATATTAACCCCTGAAGACTCGTAAACTGACTTAGGCATCACATTGATAGCAGCTCCTAAGTCTAATAATGCATGGGGAATAGTACTCTTACCAATGGTGCAGGGTATAGTAAAGGAACCTGGATCTTGACACTTGACCGGGAGAGGGGATTTAAACATAGCAGATACATTCAACCCTAACTGAACCTTGTCATGCGGCTTAAATTTTCTTTTATTAGTGCACAAATCTTTCAAAAATTTAGCATATTGAGGCACTTTCTTAATCAATTGAAGCAAAGGAATATTAACCTCTAATTTACTAAACATCTCAATCAATTCATTCTCATGTTGTTCATTATGCATTTTCTTTTGTGAATTGAGAAAAGATTGAGGGAAAGGAATATCACTGACTTTTACCTCTTTACCTTTATGTAGGATAGTTCCTTGTTGGCTTGATTCATCATACTCCAATGTTGTGCACTTGTCATCTGGAACCACTTCAGTATGGTTCTTTTCTTCTTCTTGCCCTTCAGTAGGCTCTTTCCTGTTAACTAGCAATGCTCTTTCCTTAGAGCTCTCAGATTTCTTGCTTGGCGTAGTAGAATGTGGAACAGGCTCAGTTTCTATTTCTTCTTCCATATCCTTTTCATCTTCTTCAGTGAAGTGTACTTTCCTTCCGCTTCTCAGAGTGATGGCATTAAGGGCTTTAGGATTGATAACTGTATTAGAGGTTATGCCTCCACCTCTGGCTTGCAGATCACTCATAGTATTGGCCACTTGAGTTAGATGAGATGTCACAGTATTGTTCTTCAACTCTAACTCTTCCAACTTCTTACAAATGGTTGTATTATCACCTTGCATCCTTTGTAAAATTGTGGCAATGGATGAAAATTGGCTATCATTCAAGGCTTTATCTTCTTTCAACCGGTTATCCATATTGTTAAGTTGGGCGGCCATACTCTTCAACAGTTGATTGGTCTCATCACTCTTTGGTTGAGAAAGTGAATTATTCTGGAGTGGAATGACCATCCTTGAAGGTTCTTGAAAGTGGCTTGAAGAAGCACCAAATCCACTAGTTCCCTCTTGAAATTGTTTCGACCCTCTGTTATCATTATCCCTCCAACTGAAGTTAGGGTTCTGTCTCCACCCTTCATTGTATGTGTTGGAATACGGATTCCATTTTTGGTTGGTAGGACGTCCCTGAAACATAGTAGAAACTTCTTCGTATCTTGAAGGACATGCATTGCTTATGTGCATAGGAGAACCACAGTAATCACAACTAGGAGCTACCAATGCTTGGGAAGTTCCCATTGCATTACATTGTCTAGGAACCCTTTCACTCTCTAGTTTCTCTAATCTCCTATCAATCTTCTCCATAAACTGCTTAAGTGTATCATTAGAAGAGGATGAGGCAACTTCTCTAACACACTGTCTATCTCTAGTGCCATACTGTTGGTCATTTTTGGCAGTCTTCTCAAAGAGGTCCCAGGCACCTTGCGGAGTAAGATCAAGAATTGAACCATTAGCAGCAGCATTAACAGTCCTCTGATAGTATGGCAAGAGACCCTCATAGAAATACTGAACCAATTGTGACTTAGGCAATTGATGATTTGGACACCGAGACATCATGGTTAAGAACCTAGTCCAATATTCATAGAATGACTCCCCTTCATCTTGTTGTGCTCCGAAGATAGCTTTCTTAAGCTTGGAGGACCGAGATGCAGGAAAGAATTTCTCAAGAAAAGCGTTCTTGAGTTGCTCCCAGGTAAGTGTAGCATAGTGCTGGGGCAAAGTTCTTAGCCATTCCTTGGCTTTTCCTTCCATGGTAAAGTGAAACGTTCTTCTCAAAAGTTCCTCTACATTTGCACCCTGTGGCTTCATAGTGGAGCATACCATCATCATGGTTTCAATGTGTCCATAGGGATCATCACCTGAAAGACCAAAAAATTTAGGCAAAGTATTAATCAAGTTACCTTTGATTTCAAAATTAGCATCAAAATTGTAAAAACCATGAGGATCAAAATTCACAGTAGAGTTATTTATTTCTCTAAGACTCCTCTGGTCTTCACCATTATTCCTAGGCACATGATTTTCCCCATGACCATTATTATCTCCATTACCCCCATTTCTGTTTCTATCATTTTCACCATTATTACCAACATTACCAATACGATCTGCCATGTCTAGATTTTGGTTAGGTGCACTAGGAGTATGGTGTTCTAAGGCAAATTCACTTGTACTGTTTTGACCCTTTTTCTTTTTCTTCTTTAATTGCTTCAAAGTTATTTCAAGCTCAGGATCGTAGGGTAAGGGTTCTTTATCTCTGGGCATGCAACAGAGAAATTAGAGCAACAAAATGCAAAAACAAATGAAGATTCAAGTACAAATGGAGGGATGCAAAATGAAATGCAAGGTATGCCAAAATAAATAAATAAATAAAAAGAATTAAAATAAAATCAGGATTTTTTTTTGAAAATTTTATTTTAAAAAAAATAATGATATGCAAATGCAACCTAAGCTAAGGAAAAAAATAAATTTAAAGAAAAAAGAAAGAGAAAAAAAAAACTGACACTTAGTTTACTAAGGAACCAATTACTTGGCTCCCCGGCAACGGCGCCACTTGATTTGAACCTTTTTAGTCGCCTTGGGTTAAATCAAAAATAAAACCAAATTATGCAGTAAAGCATAACTCGGGTCGAGTCTCTTGAGGAGCTTTTTATTAATTCCTTAGTTAACTAAGTGACAAAGAATTGAAAGGAGGGGTTGAAAAAGGATTTTTCAATTAATAAAACTAATTAAGAGAGTAAGAAATAAATCTAAACTACTTTTTTTGGTATTTTTAAGAAAGAATGAAAAATGCAAATTTGAATTGTAAGAAATCAATAACAAGAATGCTCTTGAGGAATGAATCAATGACTATCCTAGCTTGTTTAATGATATGGGAGTAACTTAAGTGGTTAAGACTGGTTTATATAAGTTATTCCTTTTAAATTAATACTCAACTAGAACATTAATTACTTGTTAAATTCACTTCAAGCATAATTTCTATACAACTCGCATAAAAATCACACTAACAATGAATTAACAAAGGCATAAACATAAATATATGTATAAACCAAGTACTCAAACTTATAAATACCAATCCAAATCTCAGCAATTCCAATCCAAACCAAGAATTACAACTAGCAATTCTTAGCTTTAAACCAAATATAACAAACTTCAAACCAGAAATCATCAACAAAATAGTCTAAACTAAGGACTAGAATTAAACTCCCCTTTGTAGCTCCCAAACTCAAGTCATTGAATTCAATCCCAAAGAGCACAGCGAACTCAGCCTCTCATAGTCTTGAACCAAGCTACAACTCGTGCCAAAGATTCAGTAGCCATGGAGGATAGATGGAGGAGAAGAATATGGAAGATTATAAAGAGTGCAGCTGCCACGTTCTCGACCGAAAAGAATAGGTGAAGACTGGAGGTGGAGAATTGCAGTGTGCGGCGGCGTGATATTGCGTGCGGCTATGAAGGAACTGAGGGTGTGTGAGTGCGAGTCGGTGGTGTATGAGTGTGTGTACGGTGGTATATATAGGAAAGGAGTGGGGGGGTGGCGGCGTGGTCTATGGAATTGAATAAATAGATTTGGAAGCTATGTATGCGTGTGGTGCAATAGGCGTTGGCGGCGTGATTGTGTGTATATATCCTCCGTCTTGCAATTGATGGATTTAATATATAACTTAATATCTTTCCAAAATCCATGCCTTCCCTCTCTTCCGTCCCTTTCTTTCCTTTCTTTCCGTTTTTTTTTAATTCTTTTCCTTTTGTTTCAACTTTCCTTCTATGTTTATTTCCTTTTCTGAGACCTGCAAAAGATAAATTGAGATACTATCATAAAGTTCAAAATCAATTATTTAAAAAGAGATAAAATCTGATAAGATTTTCTTTTAAATTTCTAATTTTGTGCCACCAATATTTAATTCAAAATATCTAAAATCAATGCAAATTATTCCACTTTAATTGATAAATATCCCCAAAAAGACATTAAATAATATATTAAATAGGGATTTATCACAAACATTTTTAAAATAAAAAAATACCGAGCCATTGGCCTTCAATATTTTCATACATAATTGTCTTCAGTTTTTTCCTAACACCTACTAACTTTAGAAGGATCTGAGTATATGATAGATGATAAGAGATTATAAAAAAATCTTTTGCCAAAGAAAATTGAAAGAGATGATAAGAGTGAAAGCTCCGGTGAAATTATTAATGAGTAAAGGACTGAAACTGAGTAAAATTTGAAGCGAAGACTTTTAAAAGCGTTATGTGGACAAGGCAATCTCTTCAACATGTCACATACATTCTTTTGTTTTTTAATTTTTCAATAACTTTTTTACCGGGAAAAAAGTTAAATAAAAGTAAAATACAATAACATTACCAACAAGCTGTTGGTTGAGGTGGTAGCAGCCTCACCTCCGTAAGAAAAAGAACACAAGCTCAAATCCCAGGAAGCGTACTTGTTGAGAGGGCTATTCCTTAACCGCTCTAGGCCCAAAAAGAATTAGTCTTAAGTCTAATGTGACTTAGAGATATTCTTGTTTCATGGAAAAAAAAAATACAATGACATCCTTTCTCTAATTTACTAAAGGTCGCCTCTATTTTCAAAAGAAACACTCTATAGTCCAATTTTTAATACCGTCAAGAATATTTCATTAAAAATTCCAAAATACTTAATCTCACCATTTGTCATAATGTAAACATTTTAAATTTATCAATCTGAACCTACAATCTGTTTTTTTTATGCATAAGTATCCTCTTATTAGAAATAATCCTATTTAAGGCACTGTCTGGCACTAAATGTAAACCTTCTCTTAGCGGAGATTTGAATATTAGTTTGTCACATTATGAAGGACTAATCTCTTCCGCTAAACCCAACCCTGTTGGTTGACCTTATAATCTAATCTAATTGTGTCTTCTCGGTTGTATTTTTTTAAATCTTTGAACTTTTGAAAAGTTATATGCAATTTTTTTTTTCCGAAAAGTAGACGTAAACTTAAATTTTAGGTCACACTCAAAGATTTGCAAATTTTCTATCTGCGTCTTAGCTCCGAAAACTTTCTACTTAAAATCGACTTTATGATGCAAAAACAAATACTTATTTCAAGATATTATATAGCTGAAATCAAGGTCTAGAGAATACATTAATTTGATCATTTTATAGCTAAAATAAAAAAAATTGCTTTATGTGTGAATTATTTGCAAACACTCTTGTTCGAAATGAAAAACATCCCCAAAACAATCGTTTAAAGATTTATATGATTGTGTGCAGTTTCTCTGTAACGCCACATGTCACGTTATTATGGTATGAATTGATCATAAAAGGTCTAAATAATAATTCATAGGATATTTTTCTTATTTTAAAGGCTCAAAGTTGTATTTGATGAAAACCCCTAATTGGATGAAAAAAATTGTTTAATTTATTGCTTACGGGATTTTATCTTTGAAGTGTTCAAACAATTTGGTTGTAGAAATTGAATATGAATGGAAAATGATATGAAAATGGATGTATTAATATTCCATTTTTTTTTTTGAAAATATGGGAATACTTGAAAGTATTAGAAGACTTGACCATTAAAAAAAAAATGTGGTTGTAGATTTTTTATCCATTTTTATTTTTTTTTCAATATTTTCTCATAAACAATTTATTTGTAAGGATTTTCATTTTTCACAACTTATATATGTACTTCGTGACCATGTAATCAAACTAAAGACTTAACTGAATTAATTCATCTCAAATAAATCATGATGACAGGTTCATTTTGAAAATTTCATTTGCTTTGTTATTTCAACGTACAATGTAATTCGAATTTTAGAGCTCTGATTTTGTGGTGTGTTTGGAGTAAAGATAATGAATGAATGCAAACTTTCTACAGTATTTTTTCATACAAACCTACATTATACTTCTCTGGTCCTTAACATAAGACGTATTTAACTAATTTAATTAGATTAAAAAAGTTAAGTAAGTTAGTTAATTATAAAAAAATATAACATGTTTTTTCTAAAACACTGTAATCATCTTTCTCAATATCCTTCCTTTCTTTTTTACTTGATTATGGTTGAGGGAGTATCTATAGAGATAAATATGAAAAAAAGGTCTTATATTTAGGATCAAAATCAACTTAATAATTAAGTCCTATATTAAGGACCAGAGGAGTATAATATATTCAAATTAAACACAGTTCAAGAAAACATAAATGATAAAATCTAGACGCCAGTCAAATATTTTGCATATAGGATCAATTTTTCTTTGAACCTATTAAAGCCTGAATTCATATTAAATTTTAGCTAAGGCATTTAGTTTTGTTATGAATGTACGTGTCGTGTATTTGGAAGGCATGTGAATAGGAAGGAAAGGAGTAATCAGCCAGCAATAAATAAGCTAAATAGAATTACGGCAAAAAAAAAAAGGAAGCTCAAAAGAATAAAAAGGAAAAGTTGGAGTCCGAACGGAATTATTATGATTTTTTTGGGTTATATTAAATTTTATAAGAAAAGGTTTATTATTTTCCGGTCATACTAAAATTTTGTCGAATTTTTTATCCAAGAAAATCAAACTTCAGAGCAAAATATTTATTCAAATTTTGATTATCTGAATTAATTTATTCACTTCTGGACTAAAACAAAAATAAATAAAATTAATTCACTTTGAGTTCATTACGTGAATATGTGTTTGTATACTCCTTATACTCCTTTTATAATTAATAATAATATAAAATGCAAAATTTGTCATAAGTTATTTTATTTATAAGTCATAAAATAGTGATGATGATTCTTTAATCTCCATGTGGAGCCCATGTAGGATTTGTTTTGTTTTCAAACATTTTAAAAATAAAATAAAATCATTGAGCTATTAGCCTTCAATATTTTTGCGCATAATTTTCTCCAGTTTTTCCCTAACGCCTGCTAACTTTAAAAGGATCTAAATATGTCATATATTATATCTGTGGTATTTTCTTATTCATGACACGATTTTGTATTGAAAAGACGGGAAGACTTAAAAATATTAGTAGACTTGATGATAAGAAATATCATGTGGTTATCAATTTTTTAAGGCATTTAAGTTTTTTTTTACTTTAGAGTTTCCAATATACGTGTGTGTGTCTATAAACACACACACACACATATAA